CTATCTTTATCAGCTACTGTAGGGTTGCATTAGGGAGAAATACTGGCTGTGTCACCCCTGTCACCTGCTGCTTTTATTTCAGCACCATGTCTTTAAACAGCAACAACTGGGCCAGGATAATAATTACACAAAAACGCTGACCCCTTTTTAATTTCGTAGGTTTTTTTTGACACATTAAAAATAAACTTTTATCCAAAGTGACTCATGCTAGTGCAGTGTGTAAAGCAGCAGATTAGTATGTAAAATTGGGCCATTATGCAGGCTCATTAGCCTAAATCACAAAGTGTGGTATCAGCAGAGAGGAGCATCCTAACCCTACTAAGAGAAATACCACAGATTCATCATGGTTGGCCAAATTAATTGATGCTGTTTGGAAATCTTTTGCACACACAACCTAATTGATGCATACTCAAGTTTTAGATCCAAACCAACAAACAGAAATCTCGTGGAAAAACAGCATCAAAAGAAAGTAGAAGACTGTCCTTCCCAAGGAAAATGACTTCACTTCAAATGCCTAATATGACCCCTTTCTCCTGACATACTCCTCTAGCAGTTGTGTGAATTAAGACTTTAACTGCTAGAGGAGCATTGTTGGAGTAGTGTGATAATGTTACATGAGCACTACAATCCTTAATCAAACCTTTACTCTAGGGCTGGCAGATCAGGATGCGGCTATTCAATAATATGGGCTTTCATTTTAAAAAGTACAAAGAACAAACTATGTTGTGCCGATCTGCTGCCAGCACTATCTCTCTGTACTGAGTTTGTCTTTGATAATGCAGTTCAATTAAAGCCCCATTAACATGGATTCTGTCTACAGGAATACAAGAAAGCTTTTAATATCAAACGGATACAGGAGGTGTTGAGTTAAAAAACACATTTATATGTTTTTCCATGTCATTGACATATTCTACAGATATAGACATTGAAACTGTAGTGAAAGGTTATATGTTGCTGGTATAATGTCAGACTGACTATAAGCAGTCTATTTTTGATACACAGCAAATGCCAAAGAGTTAAAATCCCAGAGTTTTGATGACCAGAAGAATTTTATACACTTTGGTGTCAAATAGACACTAAGTACACTTTTCGGGGTGTACCAGAAACACTCTTTGGTGTTGTCTCTAAGTGTAATGCTGGTGTAGAGTTATTGAAGTGTTTATTTTAGGATGATGGACTCCCTGAGAGTCCAACTGTTGATTGATACTTTCCCGGCCGCATGTAGGTTTAGGTTTCGATTCGTCATCAGGTCGCTGCGCCTTCTCATTGGTTGAATCCAGACACATGTGACCACTTGTCCTCTTCCACACTACGGCAGAGACGGTGGCGGTCGACGAGAGAGGAGTGAAGCCATATCCCCAACGAGACGTTTTTGTTATATCAGCTTCACAGGAATGTAGGAAAGAAAGTACCAAGTGAATAATGCACAGGGTTTCTGCAGGATTTTAAGAAGTCTTAAATATGTCGATATGTTGCATACTAGATCTTAAATTACATTTAGTAAAGTCTTAAATATCTATGTTCATTTACCGCTTCCTCTGTTGCCTTTAAAAAAAAAGTTTATATATATTTTTTGAGAAATGTATTAGTATGTTTCGTAGTTAGTTGTGCATGTGTAACGTTACTTCATACAGGTCTGAAATTTAATTCATAATGGGACTTAAAAAGGTCTTAAAGTCTTGATTGTTCAAACCTGCAGAAACCCTGAATGCAGAATATTCAGCTTTTTTTGTATTTCAGTTCTCATAATCAACTTAAAAATGCTAACGTTTTTAGCTAACGTCAAACTTAATAGCTAACGCTACGAGGCAAGTGTCTTCAATTAACGCTAAACCTTCTTAGCTAATGCTAATGAGGCACGTGGCTTCAATTTAGTTTAGCGAACTTGCTATATCAACGGTAAAGCCATTGCAAACATTTAATATATTATAATTGTTGTCGTTGTTGTAATGCTAGCCGTAGTGAAGCATAAGGATAGCTGTAGTTCTCGAAGCTATTTCAAAGCCTCCGGCTCCCGCTCGAAACTGCACATTTAGTGGTTAACTTCAAGTTTAACTCTGCACTGCATTTGGTGCATATGTGCAGTGATGCTAAATCAATTACTCTTTTTTGTTGTTGTTGTTGTTGTAATAGTGGAAGGATGACAACAATGCTGTTCAAAGTGCAATACCAGGGAAAGTTCATTAAACTTAATGGAGCCTCACATGCAGAATTTTTCAAAGAGGGTAAGTTATTGTTTGTGCTTCAGTGACAATGTGAATTTAATTTGTGCACCACATTTAACACTAGAACCGCCAACAGGTAATATATATTTGCATCTGTTTTTTTTTTTTTATTGTATGTAACTTTGTTTCAATACAAAGTCAAAATCAAGAAAGTCATATTTAAAAATAATGGCCAGCGCGTAAAAGTTACCCAACTGCAGCGTGTGGACGTTTGTGTTCAGTGTTGTTCAAGAATCCCATCATTTTGTCAATGTTAACTAGAGGTGTGAATTGTCACTGATCTCCCGATTCGATTACGATTATCATGTCAGCGATTTGATTCCTCGATGCATCACGATGCTTCAAATCCATTTTTCTATTAAAGCCATATAAGATATTTGACTTGACGGAATGCATTAAGATACTGTATAGTTCAATATAATACAGTTTTCTATATTACTTCATATGGTTGTTTTCATCCAAAAATACAAGTAGTAAGATATAAACAATCTTTTTTATTTAACAGTCTGAACACAGCAGACAGCGCACACACACACACACACACACACACGTCTCCCGATCGTGTCATTAGACAGAGGGGCAGTAGGGCAGAGTGGGGTAAGTTGAGCCACCCCTTGTTGCTAGGAAATGGTAAAAAACATTGATCATGTGACCAAATATTTAGGAGGAAGGCATCAGTTCATGGAGTCTGTGAAGGTTAGAACCACATGGGTAAAGAGGTTAGATATTTATTTCCAAAAAATCATTTTTCACTCTTGAAAGGGAATTTAATCTATCATAAGTTTCATGAGAATTGTGTTTAGACCAAAATAAATCATTTTGAATTTGTTTTATACATCAATTGTGGTATCTATGAGCTACAACATGAGGTAAACCTAGCATAAAAGTACCCCATTTTAGCTGTGGGGACTAATAAAGTCAAAATGGTAGCTCTGGGGTAAGTTGAGCCATTTGGCTAGGTGTAAGTTGTAGTCCAGTGGCTTATTGACATTACTGGGGTGTAAGGTCTCCAGGCGCCGTCTTAATTTGTGTGGTTTCATGCTGTCCGCTGCCAGAGTTTTTAAACATAAAACACACACAGGTCTTTCCTCATTTCCAAACTGTATTCACGGTAAACCCAAAGGCTGTGTAGGCTTCGTCATATTTCCTGCTCTTATTAGGTTTCTGCCGGTTACCGTCACTTCCTGTTCTTGCCTCTGACGTCTTCTCCGTTTTTCTTTTTACTCCTGTCAGAAACTTCTCCATCTCTCCTCCCCCGTCAGTCCCCCCTGCCTGTCGCGCCCCACTATTTGAGAAGTACTGGTCTAGATGAAACGGGTTAGGCTACTGAGAATGTTATTTTTCATTTGAATGTTTATGCCGCGGCCGGAAAATTAACGAGCGACATCATTGCGTTATAATCGATTATGGTCGGCCACTGCATCGATGCAGCATCGTCCATGTCTGCATCGTGATGCATCGATTATTTGATTAATTTCAACACCTCTAATGTTAACATATGGGCACCGGGCATATTTAAAAATAGTTAGTTTCATCATTTGTCTGTTCATTTTTGAAAAGAAAAAATTGTTTAAAAAGATAATTTTAACCAAATTCAAACTTACCGCAGTGTCCGCATTATCTTTTTAAGACGATTTTTTTTAAAAAGTGAACGGACAAATTAGGAAACTCGCAAGAACAGAACAATTTTTAAATATGCCCGCTGCCCATACGTTAACATTGATAAAATTATCACTTCTTGAACAAAACTGAATATAAATGTCCACACGCTGTAGTTGGGTGTATGGATTGATTACAGAGACAAACATTGATTATGACTGGAAATGGCCTTTAACTACTCTGGATAGCTACCACAGAGCGGCCATTGTATAGGGAACTGAGAGGGGCTTCTCCATGGATTATGTAATGTTTTCATCTTCATGTACACTACAATAATAAGAGCTTGAAAGCTCATTATTTACCTCAGTAAAATGCATTCCAGGTTTCATTTAACTTTTTTTTTGTATTCAAACTAAAGTGAAGTTCAGCATACCCACTGAGACAGACATATATGTGCTGGATGACACTGGAACAGAGGTCGATGAAGAGGTCTTCAGCGACATCCTGGAGGAAAAAACGGACATCCTGTGGACGATTGTTGATGTTCTTTCAGTCACTGGTAAATGGTCATTTGATTGTATTGTCCATCGAAGGGTTACATTTGCAACATGTAGCTGTTGTAATTGACTTTCCCTCACAAAAAGGAGTTGTGCTTAAAATGTGGCCATATCAACCATCAAAACTCTATAATCTATAACTGGCAAAGAAAAACTTTTCCCTGTCTGCCCACTCTCTCATCTCCTCTCAACTGAACATGTGGATCGATTAATGAAATCACAAGTGAAAATTTTTTTAAAAATATTGTTCCCTCTTTTCAGACTCTCCTGTCCCATCCTCATGCACAGACACCTTGTCACTATCTTCACGCTCATCAGAGAGTGATACTTCTCTGATGTCCCCAAAAAGACGGCACATTGATTCCTTTCTGTCTCCAAAAAGAGAAGGAGCCATTCTGAAGTCCACAAAGTCAGCATATTGATGACAGTTCTTCACAGGCCTAAGAGGTGGTGTTTTTTTAGGTCTCTTTATGTTGTAAATTTTGTATGTTTTGGCATAAAATTTTTTGGTATGCTGATCTAATTTTTTCTGATTCCTGTTGTCAAGCTTGTCAAGAGAGTTCTGGAACAAAAGCCTGGAGGGGAGAAGATACTTAAAGAATATGCAATGAGAGGAGAGATGAAGGACCGGACACGCTGTGATCTTGTCAACATCATTGTTGCTGATATGGTGGAAAAGTATGGGTAAGTAAAATACTTTATGGTGCATGATTTATTGAAGACTATATTCATAGTATTTGACTGTAGACATTTTGCTTTTGAAAACAGTTTATCAAATAGCAGGTGATAATTGATAAATGACAAGCACGGCCAATGAACTGCAGCCTTGTGCCATATTGGCAAGAAAAATGTCATGAGAATACCAGTGTATACCCTCTCAGCCTCAGCAAAATTTTGGTTTAAAACAATATGCTTGTACAAAACTGTATGGTTTGACTCTTGTAGTTCTAATTTTCGTTCATATAGTTTGAGTTTACATGTTTGGTATCACCATTGTACTGATTATTTTATTTGTTTTCCCCCTCAATGCAACCTATCATTTTCCACACAGATGCGCTCCACCAAAGGACAAAACACAGTATGCATTAGGGATTGTAACACTGTTTCCTTCTCTAAAAGATCCCTACTCCAAAAAAGGCTATGTGAGTATATTAAGTGTGGTTAATGTTTCCCAAATTTTCATGTTATAGTTATCAAGACTAGCAGTTTCTTAGGAGTAATGTAGGAAGGCTTCTTTATTACCAACATTGCTAGGTGTACAAGCAGCAAGGGCTCAATTAATATTCTTGATGGTAAATCTTAACACTTCTTTCTACTGGTATCTATATTGAATCATGCTGAAATGTCTTTATTTCCAACTTTATTGTTTTTTAGGAACATTTCTTTGATGCGGGCTACATTGCCTGGAAGCTTAAAAACACACAGCGGGACCTCAGCAGTGGTAGTAGCAGTGGATTTAGGAGAAAGAGCTCTCACACCTCAGACAGCAGCGGACCAGAGTTGGAAAGAGAAGTGTCTAAAGAGCACCAGCTGGAGGGAGACCAATGTTGCAAGGCCATATCTCTACTGAAACACAGCACAGACAAAGAACAGATCTTCATGAAAATGAGAGCAACCTTCAACCACAGACAAAAGCTGATCCACGATCCTGAGCGATGCAGCACAGTACTTGCAGTGTTCCCAAGGTTCCTTGACAAAAAAGGCCTGGTAAATTCACATTATGTTTAAAATGTATTCTCTGTCAAAAACAGCATTATAAAGATGATGATTGTTATTTCCGCCCAGTGCTACCACCATCAAATAAACCTAAACATGATTTCTCCCCTTTAGGTCTTGCAGGACTTTGAGCTGTTGTTTGGAGCTGAGACTTCTTCAAAACTCCTTGAGAAATGGGGAACACTCCTGAAGGCAAAAGTAATAGAGCAAGCCAAAAACCTCAGCAAAACACCACTTCTTGACTACCTCATTCAGTCTGCAGAGGAGAACCCTGATGAGGATGATGAAGTGCCAGGTAAGTGATATAAAATAATATCCTGTTTGTATTTGGCCACTTTTTTAGATGCTGACTATTGACAGGAACTTTTTGAACCTTTAAGGTTGTGTCATGGGATTTCGTCAGGTGTATTTCATGCTCAAAGCATGTGCTCCCTTTTCAGGTTGGGATAGTGACATGGCCTCACTTCTCCTGCTGGTCTACCTCCTGCCACCACCTCCAAGTGGAAAGAAGGGAGCTGTCAAAATCAGTATCCGGGAAGCTGTGGATCGTGTAGTGAAGTTTCATAAAGTAAGTGTATCCTGATTGTTTTTTTTTTAAACCATCCAATATGCAGGGGAAGCGATGCGGTAGCATGACTCTTCAACATACATACTGGATAGATCCAATCCTCAGTTTGGAAATATCTGAATCTCTAAAGTCCAGCACTTAGACAAGTGATGTCCCACAAATACCAGAATAAATAGCATGTGATATGTAAACACAACAGTTTGCGACAACTTCTTATAGGATAGAGTTCAGTTCAAGTTCCTTGTTTAGTTCTTCAGAATGAATGGTGTGGAGGTAATTATTTTTGCAATGCACCGGTTTCTTTTCAGTGTCATCTCCATGTCGAGGCCTTGTGAAAATAAAATTAATAAATATTATGTGTAATAATACTTTTTGTCATCTTGCAGTCATGTCGCAGCCTTGAGGAACACTCTGGTCCAGACCAGCGGAGGCATCCCTACATCCTGGCAGTTGGGACGACAAGAAACAGCATCCATGAATACTACATTGCGATGGATAATGAGCTCGTTCCCTGCAAGGCCAGGTCTTCCCTCTCAGCCTTTGATGAACTTTTCAAGGCACATTATGTGTTTGGTGTCTCCTATGACCAGGCCTTAAACACCAGGTTCACATTTGTGCAGACCACCATCTACAACATCGACATCGGGCTCTCTCACGAAACTCCCAGAGTCAAGGACCTCAGGGCAAAGCTCCTCAACTGAACTTGTGATGTTTAGATGCTTTGTGTGCAAATCCCGTTTTCCCAGCATTCAGCAGTTGGTCCGCCATCTCAAACTTTCCCATGCCTTTTTTCCTGGTAAGCAGTTTCAATTGGTGTGTGACCAGAATGGATGCCGTCACAGATTTTGCACTTTTTCAGGCTTCAGAAAACATCTTCACTGCAAGCATAATGCTGAAAGTCTAGATCCAGCTGATAATGAACAAGTTACTCCTTCAGTTGCTGTACATGATCAGCGAACAGTGTCAACTTTAATTTCAGAGCAACCAGTGAATTCTCAAAGCTGTATTGAGAACAGGCAACATACCCAAGAAATGTGTGCATCCCTTATTGCAAAACTCCAAAGCAGTGGTGTGGCTACTAATGTTGTAAAGACTGTTGTTGCAAATATGGAGGAGCTTGTAGAGGAATTGCATTCAAATGTTAGAGAAGATGTGGTCAAATTACTACCTGATGTTGAGGGCATGAGAACAAAATTTGATGAATATTTTGACAGTCTTGAAAATCCATTTAGCAAACTTAACACTGAGACAAAATGGAAAAAATATTTCAGTGAGAAATGTGGTCTTGTAGAACCTGCCGAGGTCGCTCTAGGAGTGAGGTATGACACCAGAAGGAATCGAGCCACTGGCACATACTGTAACAGACAAATTTGTGTACATTCCTCTGTTGGAAACACTGAAGTTCATATTCAACAACAAGGACATTTGTGATCATATTTTGCAGCCTTGTGAGAAAACAGGGGTTTATAAAGATTTCTGTGATGGGAACTATTTTAAAGATCACCCCCTTTTCTCTAAAAAAACAAACTCTCTCCAAATACAGGTATTCTACGACGATTTTGAAATGGCAAACCCACTTGGATCCAAGCATGGTATCCATAAGATTGGAAGTATGTACTTTGTTTTACGAAATCTATCTCCAAAGATAAACTCAGCTCTTATGAATATTCATCTTCTGGCACTTTTTCACACTGCGGATGTAAAGAGGTATGGATTTAATACCATCTTGGAGCCTCTTGTACATGATCTGAAAGTCCTTGAGTGCACAGGAGTGGAAGTTCCTTTCTCTGATGAACCAGTTTGTGGCACAATTGCTCAAGTAACTGGGGACAATTTGGGATTGCACACACTACTTGGGTATGTTGAATCATTCAATGCAAACTATTTTTGCCATTTTTGTCTGGTAGACAAACAGACCTCACAGACAGTTTTCAGTGATGATGATCCAAGAATAACATTCCGCAATAAAGCACTCCATGCTCAGCATTGCAATGACCTCATGGCAGATCCTACACTGGCATCGACATTTGGAGTGAAGCAAATGTGTTTACTCAATGATCTACAATACTTTGATGTTTCTGACAACTATGCTGTAGACATTATGCACGACATATTGGAAGGAGTGGGGCAATTTGAGCTAAAGTTGCTTTTCGGTTACCTCACAGACAACATCATCATATCCAAGACAGATGTTTGAAACCGGATATATTCATACAATTATGGCTTTGTTGAGCGAAAAAAACAACTAACCAGAATCAACTTGGAGCAGACTGGAAACGGCATTGGTCTTAATGCCAGTCAGACATTTTGCTTGATCCGGAATATGCCCTTGATATTTGGAGATGTTGTACAAGAAGGAAATGCACACTGGAGACTCTTGCTGCTTCTGTTGCAAATTATGAACATCATATTTTCTCCAGTCGTTACTGATGGCATGACTGTATGTCTGAAGCATCTCATTGTTGAACATCATCAACTTTTCAAAGAGCTTTATCCACATCGCAAAATGATTCCTAAACATCATTTCATGACTCATTATCCCAGGTCCATTCGAAAAATAGGTCCAATTCTTCATGTTTGGACAATGAGATATGAAGCCAAGCATAGGTTTTTCAAGAACACCTTTCAAAAGTATTGACTGTGGGCCAGTGAAAACTGTAAAGCTCAATGCCCTAGCAAATGGTGAGATAATTGCTGAAGAACTACAGGTTGACTTGGACTGTGAAGTTGATGTGACATCTTGGATCACTTGTTTTGGGACAGAATATCGCTCAGGCCTTCTGGTTTGCTCAAACATAGAGGATTTGCCAGTATTTAGCCTGATAAGAGACATTGTTTCACTTAATGGAGACTATTTTCTTCTAGCAGAGGACTTTGAGACACTTTGTTTTTCAGAATATTTTCATTCTTTTCATGTGAGACAGGGAAATGATGTAAATGTTTCAGTGCTAAAAGTTGATGAGTTGTGCTTGTTTAACATTATCTATGGTTTTGACAGAGTGACCAGTATGTGGTCCTGTGCATTTTTTGCTGTAAGAAAATCAAGGGACACCTTTAATTATTATTATTATTTATTTATTTATTTTGTTAGTTACATCGTGTAAATATAAAGCTAAATATGATTCTTGATTCTTCTTGAATAATCAAAGCTAAACTGCTTGTAACAACAGCAACAATAAAAATATAATGTTTTCAAGAATCTAATGTGTAGACTGTTCATTCCTGAAGTGATGATAATTCACCTCAAAGGTGTTGGGTGTACACCAGTCAGAGTACATTCTCACTCTAGAAGTATTAAATAATCACCTCTGCAAAGTGCTACAAAGCACTGACTAGGAGTACATCTTTTTACTCTCTGGGGGTTCTATGTTTACACTGCAAGTGTTAGGAAGCACTGAAAGAGTGCCCAAAAGTACCACTAATAGAGTATATTTGCACTCTCAAAGTGCTCAAATGTAACTCTTAATTTGGAGTATATATTTTGCTCTTTTGGACTCTTGGACTCTTAACTCTTGGACCTATATATACACCAAAATGGGTGTTAAATGTACACCTATAGAGTACAATGTACACTGTGATTTTTGCTGTGTAGGAATGGCTTGTGGAAAAAATAAGGCAACTCTCAAGTGAAGCACCGCTGCATCTGCAGTACGCGTGACTCAGGCTGGCAGTGTGACTGCTGTAATCTGTTAATATGGGCGCCAAAATAAAAACCAAGATATTCCACCACTGCAGCAGCAGGTAGTGTGAACCTGGGCTTCAGGGAAGACACTGACCATTTGGTTTGAAGGTCTTATGGATTGGATTGGGTATAAAAGCCTGTGGCGCAGACATTTTCTTTGTGGTAATTTTAAGTTTCTCTGTGGTAGTTTGGTGTTTCTTTTTCATTGTTTTGCATCTCAAAGTAGCTGTTGTTTTGGTAATTTTGAGTCTGGTTGTTTTGCAATTCTTTTGTTGTTGCTTTGTGTCTGCTTGTGGTTGTATTGCTTCTCTTTGTGTTTGTTTTCTGCCTCTTTGTAGTTATTTGGGTCTTTCTGTGGACAAATTGCTTGTGGTTGTTGTTGTTGCAGTTTGTGGTTGTTTTGTGTCGCTTTGTAGTCTTTTCTCTGTCTTTCAGAGACATTTTGCAATTGCCCAGGGGGCTCCTTGACTCCCCGGCTCCCTAGCTTGTGTCCTGGAAGGCCCATTCAGGAATCCATCCATTGTATAGAGTTTGGAAACTCTCAGATGATAGCATGTATTGGATCTACTGAAAAGGGATCAGTGGTTTTAGGATAACTGGTCTTAGTTCTTATTGATAGTATTTTGGGTTATTTGTTACTATTGTAGACTTGCGGTTTGAAGTCCATTTTTTGACCTTGGAAAAAAAATTATGGAATTGCAGATGTGCAAATTTAAATTGTTTCTCAGCACTTCAAGGATGTGAAGTCTACAACTTACAACTTAAGGAGGTTGTTAGTTGTAGACTTATTTTGTTGGGTTAATTTTTAGCACTGTGATCTGACGTGTTCTTGGATGGTCTACCCCCATCGGCTTGATGTGGCCCGAGGAAAAGCTTTCAAGGATCAATGCAGATAGTTTTGGAATTATTTCTCCACGTTTTCATAAATCTCCTCTGAGAGTTTTGCCATCAGTGGAGGTGAATGGAATTAGGTATGTGATGACATGGCAAAGCTGTCATAGACCATTATTTCAAAGCCTTAATAAATGAAACCTATCTGCATGGCTAGATACCACTTTTATAAGAAACTCCTTAAGCTTGAAACATGCTGCTTTTGCTGCAAGTAATAACACTAGTTTCCTTTAATGTTCCTTTTTGTACCTGATTTGTTCTGACTGATGGCTCCTATTAGCAAATGCAAGTGCCACTGTTTCATAAAGTGGCTTTTTATCTTTTTTATTATTGGACTTTATGAGTCTGTGCGTAAGCTCTATTTCCCACTGCTGCTGAGTGGATACCTGTGCCTAGAAATGTCATGAGTGGGCTTATTTGTATAATAATTCTTGAAGGTTACCTGCTCTCATCATAGTCCACAGAGTCTGTTAAGTCCTGTTCGAATTAGACGAGGTTCAGTAATTAATCATGCTGCCAGCATCAAACTCCGGTCTACTGTCTTGATTTTTCTCTGCACTTGAAGTCAGTTGTGGAGTAACTTGGAGGGTTCTTGGCCACATTAATCCTTCCTTCAGTTCAATCTGAACTGCAAGCACACAGTAAAAATGAGAGAGAGGTAAAAATCCATGTATTCTAAACTGTGATTCTTAAAGCTGCAGTAGGTAACTTATCTAAAAACAACTTTTTGTCATGCTGCTGAAACTTTCACTATATCCTGACAGTAGTACATATCTGGTAATATGCACAGACGTAATTTGGGGGGGGGACACAGGGGACATGCACTTTTTCAAAAGGCCGTTTCAGTCCCCTGCAGTTTTTACCGTCCAAAAATAATGTTACACTATAGTAAACAGAGACTCGTCAAGCACTAGGACCAAGCGGAAAACGGCCGCTCAAGCTGAAGCCTGTTTCCCTTAGTTTAGACCGCCCACAAGCTCCTCCATTGGCTCTGCCGTTTCTTGTGTGATTGGCCGTCCCCGCGGGAGCGTACCTATGTTCCCCGGGTCCTATGTTCCCCGGGTTCTATGTCCCCCGTTTTGTATGGGACCGGGGAACGCTAACCTTAACCCTAACCCTAACCTTAGC